GCAATAATTAAAAAACTGGAGGAAAATATACAATTTCCATCAAGCTGAAAGGGGGAGTGGTTTTAATGGTATACATGAGGAAATAATGAGATAGAATAATGCTGTCTGGGAAAAAAAGCAATAAAATACTACAATACTCTTAAATAATAGAGGGAGAGAGAGGGATAGAGGCTGGGTGGGAGGAGAGAGAAAAGAAAAAGCTTCAGCCAGACTGTCCAGAGACACGTTTTAGCAAAATGAGCTTCTGTTACTAGTGCTGCTCAAGAATGCAGGAGATAGATATCATGGGAATAAGAAAAACAGTGCCTGAATGGTGCATCAGTTTGACTTGATGGACCCCTAGGGCTTTCTTGTTCCTGTATGAGAATGTGCTTCTGTGTTCATTCATCAAAGGTATTGCTATAGCATTTCATCACAACAGAAACATATTTTCAAATTGAGCTCTTAGAGAATCTATTATAAATGATCTCTTCATAAGACACATATGATTTGATGTTTCTGCTTGCAAGATGATCTTATGTAACTCACCTTAAATTTCATTTACTCTAGCTAGCCACAATTATATACTATTAATATATGGGATTTTACATGCCAGAAAATAGTTGCCTAAAATGAAATCTTATGAATTAAAGCAATGAAAACTTCCAGCTAACAAAGACATTTATTTTTTCAGTTAATCCCATCACATTAAATTATTATTGTTCAGAATTATTTCAAAATTGGACAGTAATTTGTCTACTTCCAACTATTTCTTTTTGTCTATCACTTTGTTATTTTTTGAAAATTATTTTGGGCAAAGACTTGTGCTAGAAAAGTCAAGTAGTCAAAAAAATAGTAAGTCATATGAACTATATCTTATATTTTAATCTGAGGATAGTCGGTTCGGAAAAGCACAAAAGAACTATATATACAGCTTAAAGGAGTTAAAAATGTTAGAGAATAATCGAACTAGTATGACAACACTGAGAAGCAGTAGACCATATGCAGGCATAGCTAAAGGATTAAGAAATGAACTAAAATTAAAACAGTTCATAAAAAAATGATAGAAATTTAACTAATGGAGATGGAAGAGGAGAAGGAGAAAAATTCATAATGATTTTAGTGTGTAAAAGAAATCAACTTTGGTTGATATAAGAGATGTGAGGAATAGTTAGAGAGTAAAATGAGATCAGTTCATAGGGAATCCTAAACACTCACTGAATTTCAATAGGCAAGGGGAATGTGAAGAATTTGAACAGCTGACTGTCATATTAGATAAGCTTTAGGAACATCTTCTGGTTTGAAAATGTTTGAAATTTTCTTGATGTCTTTGAAATTTAGAAAATTGCATAGATATGTCTGAATAATGCATGTTTTCAAGATGTCTAAGTCTTTTCATTATTTTGTTATTTCTAGTTTTATTGCAAAATAAATGCCTTTGCTTCTGGTCTCTCACCTTGTTTTGGCATTCTCCATCATTTTATTTGAGACTCAATGTACTTTCTAAATACATCTTGATTATTCTGCCCTTTGCACCCCTATTCTAATTGTCACTGTCATATTGTCCTCTACTTCAGTCCATCAGTCAGGCAGTAAAGATTCAATTCTAAAATGCAATTTTGAACATAATACTCCTCTACTAAAAATCATTTAGTGACTGTCCATTGCTTAATTGACTATAGGTTTAAATCCAAGGTCTTTTGCCTAGAATTCAAGTACCTTCATGATCTAACTTATGCCTTTCTTTTCAGCCTTATTTCCCATCCTTTTCAGAATATTTTCCTATGTAATAGTTAAGAAACAATTTTCTCAATGTTACTCCCTCATGTCTTTGAATTTGCTATTGTCCCTGCCTAGAATGTTCTCTTTGCCAGTTTTTATATCTTCTTTTTTTCTTTATAATGCAGTATAAGTATCCAGGAAACTTTTTTTCTGACTTCTGTAGGCACAAGCAGTTAACTCTTCTTTATAATTTTTTCACATACCTATGTTATTACTTAATTTTTGAAATTTAACTATCTGAAAACAAGAGTATCTGGTCCACTAGACAGTAAGTCTTTGATTCATTGCCATCTCTACTCCAGCTTAGTAGCAGGAATATAGCAAACATATATTTTTGCTGAGTGAATGAATAAATTATTTATTTTACTGGATAGTGGCAGATACATAATAAACATAAATATCTGTTGAGCAGATGCATGCATAACTATATTTGTGGCATATTAGGATTTCTTTACAAACATCAAAATAAGAAACATTAATATATTTATTATAATTAGTGCATGCATATTGATGATTTTATCTCACTTCTGATAATCAGGCATAGTTGAGAAGATTATGGAAATAAGTTAACTCTTATTGCTACCATTAATTTAAATCTATTATTTAATACATTTATTTTATAATAATATATCTTCAGCTGGTTTAAATATCATATTAATAGAAATAATTATTACTGTAGGCAGAAATATAAATTATGGAAATAGTAGAAGCCTGAAAAGAGTTAATTCCAGAGAGATCCAAAAAATTGGTTAGTTTCTGCCAGATCAAAACTATAATGACTGTGGGTTAGAAGACAGCAGCAAAGTGCAGCCCAGGCCAGAAATTTGGACTTGACCAAATGGCTTGAGAAGAGATGAAGTAGCTGAAAGAATCTTGGATAGTGGGTGCAATATTTAGCAACAGAAAAATGTAGAAGAACCAAGAAACTAATCTGCTATCTTTACCAAGGCTAGTAGCCAATATAAAAGATAAAATGAAAAAAGAATATAAAAGCAGTGTTGTTTTTACTCTCATTATCACATTTTAAATCTTTGAAACAGTTTTCTATGGCATAGATAACTAGATCCTGCCTCAGGGGAACAATACTCAAAGAGGGAACTACTAGGAAGGAACAGAAGCAAGACTTCTCTCAGATAACCCAACCAAGACAAACATGAGGAATGTCAGATTTACTAGAGGCAGAGCCATGAAGATTTCGGCCTAAAAATTAAAGGTGAAGACAGAGTAAAAGTACTAGAACAAAAATGAGAGCGGCAGAAAGCCAGAGTTAGGCGACAGATTGAGAATCTGGATACATGATCACTATGGGAAGGGATGGTGGATTGATTCTGAAGTCTTAGATAACATTTCTCCTGATTCAAGATGTCTAGTCATGTCCAGTATCAATATAAGAAATCGCATGGCTAAACGAGACTTCTCTTTCTGGAAATCAAATCTTTTAACATCTCTTCATTGCCCAAAGTCATTAGTGTAGCATTTATCTACTCATAACTTAGCTATTGTTGCCTCCTTCTTCCTATCTGGTACACTCACAACATTTTATATGTATTTCTCCTATATAATTTAAAACATTGTATTAAATTTTTGGTTGACATGTTTTCTGCTTCTTTTCTGCCCATTCCCTACCAACTTTGAACTGCTCAAGGGTAGGTATAGAATAGTATAACAGGGTCTCAAGCAATTTTTGTTGAGTGAATGCACTATTAGTACTCACCTCAATATAAATAAGTATGTTTTTAGCACTGTCACAGGTCATAAAATTTTGCAATCAAATTGTAGTCCACTGTCTACTAGTAACGAAAGTGGTCATTACAGCCAAAACTAACACATTTCTTTTCCTGTTGTGGTGACAGAAGGATTTGCTGAATTGGGGCCTTATTCTTAGAGGAAGTAGGTGCTGAGAGGCTTCACCTACCCTATCAGAAAATTGCCAATACATAGGACTTTAAAAATTTCTGCAACTGTAGTCTTACTTGGACAAGGGCACAATCAGAAGGCCACAGTTAAAAATACACATTGCAGGTACTTCCCTACCTACCTTTCCGCCCCCTCTTTTTCTGAAACCCTAAAGACAGAAGAAGAAATTTCACCTACCAAATGAAATCCTTTTCATTTCCTTTTTACTTATAAACACATTTTTCCTTAGGATACACAAAATGTAAATATTTACTTTCTTAATTATTTGAGTCACAATCAGTGCTTTCTAATTAATATTTGTTTACATTTTTCTGTCTTAAATTTTTAATCAGTGTATCATTGTGCCCATTAAAGTAGCATGTCTAAAACTTATTGGTACAAAGATAGAAAATTAACATTGCATAATTAGGAGAATTAATTACTGAAGGCAAGCTTTATGCAATCCACTGTCTATTTTAACTGATCTAATAGCAAAGTTTACATACCAATATCATGATGAAAGGCTTGCTTGAGAAATATTATTTTAACCACTTAAGTACCAAAAATAAACCTTCTAAAGTCATTGTCTAATTTTATATCTTTATTTTAAAAGCAAATCATAATGCAGTATGGATTAATCTGTTTCTCTAAGGAAGTTTTGTTAGGTTTTGTTTTTAGCTATTATAACATAAAGTTCTGAGATTACTAAAAAGTAATTATTATAGTATAATTTAACCAAGTCTGGAATATTTTCAGTAATTATTTCAAAATCAGCCAAGTAATTAAGATTTTTAGCAGGTAAAACCAAAATTTGTACATTGTTTCAAAAAGTATTTTCAATTTTAATGACAACATATTTATAAATGTATGCTTAAGCATGAAATGTTCAAGTACCCCTACAATTCTGTTGGTGAATTAAGAATAATAGATATTCTAGTTATACTATTTACAAATTCTACATCTGGTATCTAAACATTAGAAAAAACTATTTCTAAATGAAATGAAAATGTTTTATACTTCATAAGATTGCTATGCAGGGTGACATAATTAAATCATATTGTCCATTAATTTCAGAAATATATTTTTAACATTACAAAATAATTTTACAAGAAAGTAAAAATTGACCTGAAAGAGGAAAAATATTCCTTAGGTTTCTTTCATAGTAATTTTTAATTTTTTTCTGTTAGGAGGGAAAAACAAGTAAATATTACAAATGTTATGTTAATATAAGAAAACAGACAGCCATTCATTACAATTTATTACTTTTAGAGCTTTGATTTGGCAAGATTTTTTTTGTTATTTTTAAAAAGGCAAAAATCACTTAGAATATGCATTTGGGGTCAGACCGGTGCTTGAGACAGGGCAGTGTTGGACGCGCCGCGTTGCGTTTCCCGGAGTCTGGGCCTTGCGTGTCTGTAACGATGGGAAAGGAAAATGGCCTTGCTGTGCTACAACCGGGGCTGCGGTCAGCGCTTCGATCCCGAGAGCAATTCCGATGATGCTTGTACATACCACCCAGGTGTTCCAGTCTTTCATGATGCATTAAAGGGTTGGTCTTGCTGTAAGAGAAGAACAACTGATTTTACTGATTTCTTAAGCATTGTGGGCTGTACAAAAGGTAGACATAACAGTGAGAAGCCACCTGAGGCAGTCAAACCTGAAGTCAAGACTTCTGAGAAGAAAGAACTATCTGAATTGAAACCTAAATTTCAGGAGCACATCATTCAAGCCCCCAAACCAGTAGAAGCAATAAAAAGGCCCAGCCCAGATGAACCAATGACAAATTTGGAATTAAAAATATCTGCCTCCCTAAAACAAGCACTTGATAAACTTAAACTGTCATCAGGGAATGAAGAAGATAAAAAAGAGGAAGATAATGACGAAATTAAGATTGGGACCTCATGTAAAAATGGAGGGTGTTCAAAGACATATCAGGGGCTACGGAGTCTAGAAGAAGTCTGTATATATCATTCTGGAGTACCTATTTTCCATGAGGGGATGAAATACTGGAGCTGTTGTAGAAGAAAAACTTCAGATTTAAATACATTCTTAGCCCAAGAGGGTTGTACAACAGGGAAACACATGTGGACTAAAAAGGATGCTGGGAAAAAAGTTGTTCCATGTAGGCATGACTGGCATCAGACTGGAGGTGAAGTCACCATTTCAGTATATGCTAAAAATTCACTTCCAGAACTTAGTCGAGTAGAAGCAAATAGTACATTGTTAAATGTGCACATTGTATTTGAAAGAGAGAAGGAATTTCATCAAAATGTGAAATTATGGGGTGTGATTGATGTAAAGAGAAGTTATGTAACTATGACTGCAACGAAGATTGAGATTACCATGAGAAAAGCTGAACCTATGTAATGGGCAAGCCTTGAACTGCCTGCAATCAAAAAGCAGGAAAAACAAAAAGAAGATATAACAGATTGAGTGGGAAAGAAAGGGGGGAAGCTTTTAGCTATTTCAAAATTCTTAATGTGTGATGAAGTGGTGGCTTGCTGCTGTAATCTTTTTTTGTTCTTGTGTTGTTGCTAAATCTGGCATTTCAGGGTCAAGATGAGGTTTTTAAAAACCAAAGTCAGTTTATTTTTTTGTGCCTCCTATCTTCCTTTTGAGTTATGTAACATTGATTATTCATATCTCCTCACTGATAGAACCATGGTTTGTCCTGTACTTGAGGAAGCTGGAAAATAGCTCATAAACATAATTGCAGTATTTCTTAGTATAATACTATGTTAAGCAGAGAAATATTAAGAACCATTTTTTTCACATCACATTTTACTAATTATTATGCCATAATTAGTAAAGCAAGATGAAATGTCAAAATTTTAATCAGTTTTTTCATGGATTTGTGTTCCTATAATACTTGAAAATAAGGAAGAGATGAAGCTTTGTATTATTTTTTTCCATGTGGCATGATTACTTTTTTTAGGAGGATTAATTCTAAGGTAGTATATAGTAAGTAAAGGGGAATGTATGGATTGGTTAACAAATGAGAATTTGTTTACAACGAATTGAATTTAAAAATTACATCAAAACTTGAATTACTTGCCAAGCATTATGATTTAAGAGTATAGGAAACATAAATACAAGTACAGGGGTGTCAATTTGGTTAAAAGTCACCATTTTATAAGAGTAAGCAATAATGTTAAAAATCTTTTCTGATTATTTAAATGTCTTTGTATGATATATGACTAAATTGTACCTGATTTACAGATTAAATCCTCTTAAAAATTTTTAGATCTATATAAAAAGAAATTATATATATCTCAGCTCCCTGATGGAAAGCTATATCTGTAAAATTATAGACTTAAAGGTTTGTGGAAATACATTAGGGGATGAGAAAACTAAATATACAAACTTTATGACAGTTGTCTACTACATGTTAAATAAAACAGCTTAATTCTTTTGGATTTTTTTTTCATTAAGGTTTTCATGAAGAGCTTCACAATTTTAGTGATATAATTTTGATTATATATTGTATTTTATTTATTAAATACAAGTAACAGAATTAGATTGTTTATGCTAATTGGACTTATCCTTTGATAAGTTACTTTTTGAGGCAGTGCAGAACTCAAAAAAAATTAAGACATGTTATGACAGCCAGACTCTGACAGAACTTAATAACTTTGGGAATTAATTAGGCTTATATAAATTAAAAATGAAAAGGGTGGTTTATTTCTCAAACCCCTTGATGATTGATGATGATTCTCAAACCCCTTTTCATTTTCTTGGTATTAATGGCATTCTCGTAAAGAAAAATTTGCAGAAGTGCTAGTTAATAAAGTGTATATATCATTCTACTACCCTTAGCAAATGACAGATGTAGTTATATAATTATTAAAAGGTTAAGCTCTATTATAAATAAAGACAAAATCTGGCAACCAGACTTTCATGACATTAAAATGCCATTACAAATTTTTGGCAGCAAAAGTTGTACTCAAATAGAATGCATAAATGTCTAGTACTTCAAGATGTATTTTTAAAAGTTATCTTTTATGATTTAGGAACCTGGGTTCATTTTAGAGATAAAGTCTTGTTTATTTCGGGAGAGCAGAAGGTTGATACTTTGATTAAAGGTAATGATTAATATACCTTTTTTAATGCTTCCTTTTTGAGGCTGTTTTCCCTTAAACAATGTCTTAATCCATTATATGTAATTGAACTATTATTTAAAGCAAGTGGATTATTGTAACCTCAGATTCAGTTACAAAGCACTGATTTCTTTTTTATATACAGCTTGCGTATTTAGTTTGGTTACATTAGTAACCATCTTATTTTGTTTTTTATTCCTAAGAGTCTTTGAATTTGTTGTCCAGGTAAAAATCTGAATGATATTTATCTTAGATTTATCCATGAAGGGACACAGTTATAGTTAGGTAGAATATGTTTTACTTTCAATTTGTCAAAAAGTTAATAAAAATATTTAATTTTATTGAATCGTTAAAAAAAAAAAAAGAATATGCATTTGGACACCACCACCTTCATTTAGAGAAAACACAAACAAGTGACCATCAAAGAGTGTTTTCCTGTGTGTACTAAATTTGCATGGCAAAAGTTCAAAACAGCTTGACTTTCCCATCTATCACAAGCTGTCCTGGACTATTTGATTCACAGAAATTCCATTTTCCTTTGGTAAAGGGTACAGTTCCCTAAGACTTGAAGGGAAATTTCAGCAGTGCTCTGTAGAAACGGGTACACAGTAGTAAACACACTATTAGTGTGTATTATTGATGCACACTAAGCTCTTAATTTGGTAATAATAAGAATTTTAATTTGAAAACAAAATACAACCACTAATAAATGGTATTATATTATTTACTTAAGAACCCATAGGATGCAAATAAAAACAAATAATTTAGAATCATTTGAAAGCACAGTATTCAGTTGATAAAATGGACTATAAAGTATATAGAGGATTCAATCAATCATTGACAGCTTTTTGGAAAGAGATTACATGAGCACACACACACATACACACACACACACACACATTTCCTTTTTCACAGTGGAAATATTGCCCTTGTATTTAGTACCCAGTTTTATCCCATTGTTTTTGAAGACCAGGATGTGATTCACTCTAAAAATAGCTTTCTCCAGTATAAGGTTTCTGAACAAAAATAGTTTGTTGTTGTACCATTCAGGAAAGTCTAAAAATCTTGTTTGCATGTGTGTGTGTTTGTGCATGTGTGTGTCTGTGTGCATTAACACTTAGCAGGCTCATAACATTTCTAAAGAATCACCATGCAATTGTTATACATTAAAGAATTATTTTAATGGCTTCAGATGTTAAGAACATAAGATAATATATTGATTCTTATATTTAATGGTTATCTATTTTAAATATCAATCTTTTCTATTTACAGTTAAAATCACTTTTGTTCATACTTGTAATAGTAATAACTTGATTACATTTTAAGGTAAACTTTTAAAATTTAATAATTTTCCTCTTTTAATTTACACTATATTTTGTATATTTTAGGTGAACCAATATCCCAGTGGGGATTTTTTTTAATAAATAAAGACTTTCTGACAAAAAGAATTAAGCAATAAAATGAAATATTGTTTAGGTTTGTGAATAACTGTTTTCTGTTGTAGTTCATGTCTATTTTGCTTTAAATGAGATTATATTTAGATTTATATTACAGTAGCAAAGGTATTTCTTAAGGTATCTTTTTTGAATTCAAAAATACTGTTAACCAAAAGCCTCAATGATGTTAGATACAATATCCAGGTAGTGAGATTTTTTTTTTTTTTAAATCTTCTTGTCTCAAACAAGTAATTATAGCTTACCTAAAGACTCAACTCAGCAGGGCAAACAAAAACATTAATGCCATTAAGATATGGGGATGCTGACAATGAAATACACATCTTAATTTCGACAATTCAGAGTATAATATTCCAGTAGTTTCTTCTGTTAAAGTCCAAAGTGAACATTCCTTTAGTCTACTTCGTTCAAGAATCACATCTTAAGGATGTAATGAGCATTGTAGGGGAGAAAGGATTACCTCTATCCCTTTTTAGGGTGAGGCAAAGAAACACACTGTAACCAAAATGTCTAAAAAAATTTTTTTTTGTTAATGGGAGGTGAACAGGTGGAAGGGGGGAGAAGGGGATGGGTATGCACTTTCATGGTGGGTGCAGGGCGCACCACTTGAAGACTGGACATGCTTGAAGCTCTGGCAGAGCGGGGTGGGTGGGGGGCAGGGGCAAGATATGTAACCCTAACAATATTTGTACCCACAGAATTTGGAAAAAATAAATAAAAAATACAAAAAAAAGAATTCATTCAAGTGATAAAATACATATTAATATTAATGCAATAGGTTGTATTCTTGAGTGACAACACAATTCTAGAACAACACAATATTATTTGAAACTAACATTTTTAAAAATTAAATTCTCAAGTACCTTTTGTAATTGTACCAATTTATACCACCCCAACCATTTTTTCTTTCTTTTCCTTTTTGGGGAGTTTCTTTCATTAATTCCCTACCAGTATAATTCAATGTTCAAAAGCAAGAAGTAATCATTAGGGGTGAGACAAACTCTGTTATGTGTTAAAAGAACTGAGGGTTTTCCTTGTTATCCTATTTTTGCAAATGGTGATGAATATTCATTAAGCTAGGAAAAGATTTGCCAGCTGCAAATCTTTGCAAGGTGCCCTGGTTGCCTGAGCCAGAAGGAAAACAAAAATTATAAAGCCTCTATTTATGTGTATTATAAACGATGAAGAAGATAAACTACCAGAAGTATTCTCAGGAGGAAAAGGTTCTATCTTATATATTTTAGAAATATGTGCACTATTTTAAAAACCTGTGATTTTCAGATTTTTCCAGGATCATCTTAAAGTTATATAAAAGGAATCATAATCATACTAATATTTAGTTTTATTTTCCTTCAGCTTTAATATAGGGATGTAGATAAAGGCTAAGGCTCTTTTAAAAAAGTAACTCTTTGAACTAGCCCACAATTTATATTATATTTAGTCAATATGAATGGAGGTGGGATACTTCTGCCTTAAAAGAAACATATCTTCCTGATAAAAATCTGTTAAATTACTGAAATATCAAAATAATTTAATTCTGTTTTCTTGTGTTAAAATTTTACCACTTTTAAAATAAAAACAGAAATATCATCATATATGATAGAAAAATGTTAACTACATTTACTTCTATAGTGTATCTGCAGATTTTTAGACAAGAATGTCCCTATATTTTAATTCAAGCCTAGAATACACAATTTGAAAATTTTACTTCAACTTTTCCCCATAATTCATAGTGTTACTAATTATTTGATATTTATGTTAATTTATAATAAATGAACATGCATTTGTTCACTTTAAGTCATAATTGCAAATGGTAAAACCATTATTTTGTTCTTAAAATTTTTTTTTATTAAAAGACTTTTCTTCTGGACAGGAAGTACTAAGAGTTTCCCACAGTTTTATCTTTATTATCTTACTGGTTTCTTGGAACCATTTGGTTATGAAAACAGTAAACCCAAAGGAATAGAAATGGTTCATTTAAATCACCTCCTCAGGTTGTTTCCATGACCAAACCACCAGGGGATTGGACATATCAGGGGGAGGGAGGAGGCAGGGGCAATATTTGTAACCCTAACAATATTTGTACCTCCATAATATGATGAAATAAAAGAAAAAAAATAAATCACCTCCCCAGGCTATGGTCCCTTTTTGGCAATTTGTGCTAAGGTACTTACATGAAATGGGTAGTGTCTATCTTCCTAATCCATTGATGTCTAAATGGTTATTCTTAATAAATTATAAAGCTTAATGAGGATTCTTTGCCTCCCTATGACTTTATGGT